TGCTAGAGTCGTGTTCAAGCACTTCTTGATTGGGACACATTTTGAGCGCACGTGTTGCATCTAGGGTATTTAATATCGTTGCATAAAAAAGTATGAAACTGATGTCAATTTTGACATTTGTTTCACCTAGAGCGTAGTTTGGAACGCACCCTGGTAAACGAATGCAAATACCCACTAAGGTTATTGCGCGATTTTATCAAAAGCGGTATTTTTCCATATAGAAATCTCATCTAATATTCCCAAAAGTTCAATGTGGAAATTATATTTGTTAAGAAAATCCACTTCCAAACGTATTGCGGTCATTGTTTAGTTTGTTTTTGGCTCATTTGAAAAACTGTAGAAGAGAGGCGAGATGAAGTAAGTTAAATAAAATGTGGTTTTGATTACTGAAGTTTTAATTTATATTAAAATCATTTCTGTTTTTTGCAGTGGTGTCACAATCGTCGCATCCCTCTGTAGAGCAGCTTAATGTGTTGATCGAGTTCCTAGCAGCTAATAGAGATTTAGCTAAAGATTTCTCTAAGAACCTCAGTGCCAAATAAACCTATCATTGCTAGCTCCAACAAATGAGGCATCGACATGCAAAACATTGAGATCGGCATCAACAATCTGTAACAAAATATTTACAAAATTTAATTCCAGTCTTTTAATTTATCTTTACATAATCTTATTTATTTATATGTTCATGAATCATGACAAGTTTTAAGAAAGTAACAAATAGATGAAAATCAGTTAAAGGTGTAGGTACTTACTACTTGAACATTTCTTGCATGCTTACCTTTACGACAATAATACCGTTCTTCATTTTCTTTGGGTCGTATCATGGTGACAAAGATACCATCTATGCAACCAACAACTCCACGTATTTGAAATTTCTCAAAAAAACTGTAACAAAGGTAAAGAATAGCTCATTTAATATTTACTTTACTAAAGTAACTGCCAATAAAAGTATTTTTTTATGATTTCATTACCTAAAATACTTTGAGACACGGGCCCATAGATTTTTTAGAATTCTGATACTGTTACAGGATTGTAAAAGTTATAAGAAACACTGGTCTACTTGATTTATAATATAATATTTAACTTATTGGTTATTCTAGTTAATCAGAGTTTACTTACTGTTCCTTCAACACTTGGTGTTGAGATGCATTTCGCGGAAATGTTATATATTTTTACGATGTCTGGATGACTTAAAATTGAGGCAATTTCATTTATACTTCTTGACATTAATATTAAGCACAAGGCAATAAAGTGAGATCTGAAAAAAATAGGTGGACATGAGTTTTTGAATTATTAAATAAACAATGAGACCTACATTAATAATACTTACTTTAAAAGATCTTCTCTAAACAAAAATCGTAATTTATTAGCAGTTTGTTTGATTGATTGCCATAGCTACACACTAAGTCACTTTGACATAACAATTCGAGTGCGGATCCGAAAGTGAGTGTAAAATTCGTTACAGAATGCCATTAAACTTCAAATCCTTGAGCATATTGTCAAGCTATATCCTGCGTTAGTTCATTTCACCGCCACTCTCGCCTAGTAGCGCTAGTGTTGATTCTCACTTGACTACAGAATGCCAATCATAAAATCCGAAACGGAACCGCGTTCGAAAGTGAAATGTGTGTTTACAGAATGCCACTCCTGATGGCGGAACACGCGTTCGAAATTTCGATTACAATACGTGAGTTCTACCATTGCTTTTTCCTTGTCTTGCTTTAAAGGTTCTATCATAATTTGAGTGAAAGAAAGTAGTCTCCATTACAATGCCAACAGTAGCAGTAATTTGTTTTGGTGATTTTATTATTTTTCTATTAGATTTGGCCATAGAAGTGGTTTAGATCTGGAACATTTTAGGTTGTCTGCTACCAACTGTGCCAGATTTAGTTTTGTAATTCTTGTTTGGTCCGGAATAATATTATGCTGAAATATATTCTCAGCACTACCTTGGGTTAGCCCAATAATTACCAAACAATAAACCCATGATTAATAGATAAGGACATCATGATATTTAATTTAATACCTATGAATCAAATTCCGAATATATTATATTAAACAAAAGATATTTCCACAAAAAAACTTAGATTGTTACAACAACAGTCTGAATTTTAATTTATAAAACCAAACAAAATATGTGATGATATCATTTTTATTGCGATATAATAATGCAGAATCAAATAAATGAAATGAACGATAAGCATCATATTGAATATTAATAAACTCGTAAACGTAAACGTAAAAACCATTTTTTAAGTGAATACAAGTTATTAAAAAGAGAGAGAAAAACCAATAAAGCGATCAACAAATCATTTTAAAACAATGGCAAATATTTATTTTGACTTTGAATTTTACATATATCTCCATAGATAAATGATTGGTGTCGCTAAGCGAGCCCAAAACATATAGAGTATATCTCTATATGTTTTTGATTTTATAAAACACTTTTTTTTTTGTTGTAAAGTAAGTTTAAAAGTTTCTATTTTTCCGTTTTTAATCAAAGCAATATCGGAAGACCTGCCCAGGATTTTTATTGTTTAATTTCACAAAGCAACCAAATCCAACCTGTGCACTCCTTTTTTGTCATATTGAATTATCATTTCATTTTTTTATTTTAAAAAGTACTTGTCAGGACTGCACTAAATATATATGACGCTATTCAACACAGAACTGATTTAAACAAAAGAATAATCGACAATATTCGTCCATTAATCTTAAAACTATGCCCTAGCAATAATAGAAAAATAGTAATTTGTGTATTTATATATTTTATATTTTGTAACGTTTAAATCATTTCGATAAAAATTATATTCTACCTTACCTTCCTAACAAAACAATCAATCATCACTATCAATTTAGATTTGGTATTATAAATCGCGCAAAAAACACAAAAAACATAGAGCCGAATTAAAAACTATTTATTTTTGAAGTCGGTAAGTAGAAAAAATTCTTGAAAGGAATAATAATACTATGAATATAATAAAAGGTAAAATAATGATTTAACTATTAAGCAGTAGTAGCAAATTGTAGTGCATGTTCAAAGTCATATATGTTAGTAAGTTCTAAGTAAGCAGAAGTTATTACCCCTTTCGCAGCGCTGACCCATTTCGTCATTTCATAGATGCCAAACCAGTTTTAAAGTAACATACCTCTTTACGCAGTGCAGCGGCATTTCACTCAACTAACCAGTATTGAATAGTACTGTAAAAAGTTATTGTCGATATCTTGGAAATATTTATTTGTTAGGAAGAGCGATGCATTGAAACTTCAAATTAATTTAGATTAATTACTTTTGCATTAGATATTATAATTGATTTTTATAGCTAAGCTTTCGTTCGATGCAGGTTTGTCGCCAATGGCAAACTTTGATTACTATCAATGTAGGAACAGTATTAATCTCCCCAATGCTTGGGCACAGGCCTTCCCTAATGATGGAATAGGAAGATTGGGCCGTAACCCACCACGTGGGCCCAGTGTGGATTGCTGGGTGCTAACGACTACAGATGCAGCCGTAACCAAAGGCTTAAAGTACCTTCCGAAGCACGGAGGAGCTCGAGATATTAATTTTTGGTCACCCATCCTATGAGCGACCATTACCAAAGTTGCTTAATCGCAGACCGAACCTGCTAACCAACTGCGCCATCGAGCTTCTCGTATATCGATAACTTTATGTATATCGAACAGTATTCGCATATCAATAATGTTATAAACGCACTAACTTCGTTTTGCCAACCTGACCTGCGACACGGTACATTATTCTTACACAATCTCTTGACCCTGACATTGTTTGTACCAGTTCAGCATGTAAACATTGCTCAAAGGGTAACGCTGTTTCAACGATATTATCAATAAGCTGTACTAAATTATATCTTTTGAGAATATTTTATTCCCACTTCAAGATTAATCGTCGCCATAGAACGAAAAGTCACCAACTAGGTCAAAACATGTTTTGAGTTATGAAGGTTAAAAGTTAAGAACAAAATTTTTTTTGATGTTTTACTTTATTTGTTATGGTTTCATATCTTATTACCAACATTACATACAATATTACCTACTATCATTCACTTACATTTGTTACTTTTAATGAATTACCAAATTACTGATATAATGAAAAAAACACAAACAGTTATTTTTCACCCTCAAGTCCAGTACCAACATTTTAAGTTAGGTACCTAATAAGTTGTAAAGAAAGTTAGTGACTTTTTATCTGTGCCTGAGTCATTTTAGAAGAATTACTAGTCATTCTTTAACTAATGAATACGTTCATTTTGTTATAATTATATTAAATCGCATTTGCGCCTAAAAAGTTCTTAATTCAAAAACTAATCATGTTTTAGCCTCATTCTAAGTCTTGATGACTTTAAACAATTAACAAAGATGGAATGATGTGTTAAATACGGACCAGGCAGCAGATCGGACAGTCTGCGGTCCGCGTGGATTTTTTTATAGTAAACTTTTCTTTAAATAAGTATTTGTCAAAATTTTACACATTTACTATGTATTTGACGTGGCATTAACTGAAGTAAAATTTACTGTCGATGAAACAACGCGACCTATTTACTAGTAAACTTTTGTTAAGATTTAAACATCTAGTAGTTAAATGCTTAAAAATAAAAATATGAAAAGTTAGTTTTTCCATAGGATTTACCTACAGTTAAGTTTAACTATCAATAAAACAACGTGGCCTGTGCCTTCATTAGAATTAAGGATTTTCTGTGCAAGTGGGCCAAGTATATTCCTATTATGACTGCGCCTACAAATGTTTTCATAGCGAATCCTCACACTGTGCACAAAACCTACCAAGATACCAAAAATAACCACAATAGCCGTATGGGCCTGTTTGTCTAATAAAAACTTTATTTGTGATCGTGTCAGCAATAATTATGGAAAAGGTTTTTGTTTATTGAATGCTGTTGAAGATTTGTAGAATATAGTAATTTAAATGATAGTTTCAAAGTCATTGGAATCATATGATTAAATTAGGACTTTTTATTTTACAGGTAATACGGTGTTGCAATTCCTGAATGAAAACTGGCGTGTCGTCACTGAAGAATTTGGACAACCGGTAGTGGATTATGCATTGAATGTCACGATATCCACAGCCAAGCAATTCTTTGACGCCGTTCCTATCGACGAATTACTATATGTACCCATACCTTCGTATTAAAATAATGTTATATACTTCCAGCTTCTTCTTCTGAAATGTTTGATATTTTTGTACATGACTAGAAATGTAAATGAATCAATTAAATAAGTTAATAGAGACGAATATAGTAAACGTAAAATTAATAACGTTGTTAGATTAATATTGTAAGGGCTAGTGCTTAAACAACAAATATAATGGTTTTAATGTTCCCCTACATTAAATGTTAATAAAGTGTAGTGATCTAAGACTAGGGTTACACATGTATAAAGTGAAGTTAGATCTTATTGACAGTAATTTTACATTAAGTCAGCCGAAAATGTATTAAGTCGCCATAGAGCGAAAAGTTACCAAGTAGGTCAAAACGTGAATTGAGTTATGAAAGTTTAAAGTCTCAAAAATACAAAAAAAAAAACATAACTAAGTTCTGGTATGTGATCATTTTAATTTTATGGTTTCATATCTTATAGAATAGGCAAACACTTATTACAAATAATTACTGAAATAACAATGAACCATAAACTAACATAGTTTTGACCCTTAAATCCAGTACGAACATTTGTAATTTATCGAGTGCTAAGTAAAGTTATTGACTTTTTATTTGTCTCGGTCATTTTTTAAAAGAGTAAACTAATAATATTAGTTGATTTTGCCATGGATTAAGCATACTTAAAATCATAAATCATTACCGGAACATATTCCGGTAATTTTGCTAAGCGGAAACTAACTGAACTGATTTAGGTAATGTGGTGTAGTCCGAATTAAGAATTGATGTGTTTTTGCTTTATCTAAAATCTAAAGTATGAGTCGTAGAGACATGGCTGTAAGGAAATACCGACGTAGAACAAAATGGTGATAATGATGACATCACTTACTTAATTTTAGTCAAATATCGTCTTGCTGGCTTTTCGCTCTATGGCGACGATTTGCCTTCTTAAAATACAGCAAGGAATAAAATGAAAATGATTATATGAACTTACCACTAAAACGAAATGGATTTGTATGTACATATTTCATATGCACTTACCGACAATTAATTGTTATTTCTCATGTAAGTGTCTGTATGTTCATGTTTTTTATTGAAAAATATATATTCTTTACCCCTATTAAAAGAATTGTGAGCACTTTAACTAAAAACTCTTAGTAACCTTAAACACTGGTATTATATAGAGTATTTTGTTACAGTTTTTTAGATATCTGTTTGTTTATTTGAACTATTTAGGCATTTTATTTAGTGATTATTCTTTTCATACTCTTAGGATTTGTTATATTTTCATAGGTCCAACAAAGATATACATACAAATAATTGTTATCATAGTACAATACATACAGAGAAATTTATATACTAACTTGTTTAATATTATCTTTCGAAAAATACAATATTTGCTAAGCTTTTAGTGATTTTGTTTAAAATGTGTTTAATGAAAAATATTATATCTATATATTTATAATATAATATTTGAAAATGACTCTATGCCACCTAATGTCAAGTGGTGAAGGAGTCCCTACGCAAAGATAGATTTTTTCCAGTGATCCATTTAATGAGATTTTATTACCTACGTAAAATAATAGATATAAAAATGCTACTGTTTAGAGGTTTTTCACATTATGCATAATTTTGTTTGATTGCTATGTAAAAAACATCAAAAAATACATTGCAGTCGTCAACACCAAAATCTTAAGCACTTTGAAAAAATGAAGTAATGCACATTAATAACTCATTTTAATATTGTATGAAAATGACGGGTTAATACAAATTTCAATTTGTTTTCAAACGTTTAAGCTATACAATTGGATTTCTTAGTTTTAATTGGTTTGGGTAAAATAGAATTTGATACCAAATTTTCAGGTTATTGTAATTTCTGTGAATTGAAATGTATGTCTTTCAAAATGAACATTTACTAAGTTATCTATAATTTTACATGGCTGAAAATAACAGCCACCAACTCATTACCTACTCTTTCAAAATGTTTTATTTTACATATAGGTAGGACTACTGTTATAAAACAGTTATAAAATGTTTTGTGATTATATCATTTACCATCGAATTAAACATACTTATGTTAACTACTTTAACATTAAGATAGGTTAAATTATATCTGGCAAAATAATAATTAATATTGAATTTGTAAGAACCATCTTCTTCCTAATTAAACTTTATGTTTTATTACCGAAATAATACAATTTTTATTCAATAAATCATATTTTTGTTACATCGTAATTTGTGAACATATTTCGATACCTTTCTTAATATTGCTTTCCTACAAAAAAAAATAACTATATCGGGTAATATTTATAAATGAATTAGGGTTCTAATTTTTCTACTCATCTCACACAAGTTCTTTTCACGAGCTCGAAGACATGCCTAATGGTAAGCACGTTTAGTCTTCAATCGTGAAAGTTATGCATCTTTCGCAATGCCCGGTCATTAGATAGGTGACCAAATGTATTAACGTGAGCTCCTCCATGCTTCGGAACCCACGTTGGGCCGTTGTTCCCCGCTATATTTGTTTTTGTTAGCACACTCTGAGACTTCATGGTTGAGGATCGGAAAGCTATCTCTGTACTTATGGGGATGATGAAACGAAACTAAGGTAAGTCTTTTAGTTATATTATAAAAAAAAATACACATGTTTTTTTCTTTAGTTAATTAAACCATTCAACTACGGAGATAAAATATTTGGAGGCGGTCTAGTGCTGTCACTTCTAAGTAGTTAAAAATTAAAAATCGTACCAAGGCGTGATGCAATGCGACATTTTTAATCAATATATCTCCGCAATGCTCTGATTATGCTAGTAAATAAATAAACATGGCCAATACTTTATGATAATCAACCTAATAGGCGAAGAAAAACACTTAGTCATCATCCTTATTAATAAAATGATAATGTTGAAAATAGAAATCTACTGACGAAATTACCCCATACCTGAATGAAATCATTAAGTTCATGGGATGATTAATATAGTTTCGACCAACTTGAGTTTAACGCAAAATAGTATAACGTGGAATTTAGTTAACTACTAAAGTTTAATCTTTTTATGTTGAATGTCAAAATAATAATGTAATTTAAAAATATCATGTGATAGAAGCTACAGTATCGCTTAAGGTACAAGTCCGAATTGAACCGCAGACCGCAGCTGCAGACTGCAGGCAACACTACTAGCTTCTATGAAATTGATTGCGAGCGCGGCGACATTGCGGCCTGCAGCCGCGGCGCGCAGACTGCGGCTGCGGCGTGCAGTGACCGCAGATTGCAGTTCCAGCGGTGTCGCCAACCGCTGAGAGGTCACACCAAAGACTTGAATCGTGAGATATACCCTTACTGTAATCGAAATCTGTAAAACTCCCATATTTTTCAATTTTTTTAAAAATATGGGAGTTTTACAGTTTCCCATTTTCCCATTTTTTCCCATTTTTGCAAGAAAAGTGTATTATAATACCGCCTTATAGAGCACTTTCGCTCTAACAATTCGATAAATACAAATAAAGCTAATGGTGTAACATTTCACTCGTAAGTTTTTAGATTTCATTTTTATTAAATTTATTTTCTTTTGTTGTCATTAGTAAAGTTAAGTAAAGTTTTAGTCTGATTTTTAAATCTACTTACAATGATTTTATTATTTATTTAATTCTACTTGATTTTTAATGGAGACTAGGCCAATATTCACGAGGCAACACCGATATTGTCATTATAGACCAATACTCGCTGTACACTCTCGAAGTCGGCAATATTGGCGTAGTTTTGGCCGCAATGTGGAACCCGCTTAAGGGCCAAAACTGCGTTATAAAAGAACGTCCGCGCGGGCACCCGATGAGTGCCAACGCGCGGCTAATCGTCGCGGAGACCGGGATTCGCATTGTCGCTAGTTCAATTTTAACGATATTCACGTAAAATCGTGTTGATGGAGAACTCAATACTATTGCGTAGCAAAACGACTACCAGCAAAACCACTGCCGGACCCTACGCGTGACCCGCGCGGACGTCTTTCGTGGGGATGTATGTACGAGTATGCACAATAGCAAAGTAGAATTTCTTGGATACACATCAGTTTTGGCATTATGAAGCTATCCATTACCAGTAACTTGTCAATAATTAAAATAATAGATTATATTCTGTGTCACATTCACTTTAAATTTAAAAGTATTTGTGGTCACATTTACATTAATATTTCTATCTTAATAGAATTATAACATCTTGGTTAATAGGAGGCAAAACATATCTAGACTATCATAGTCTAGATATGTTTTTTCTGAGCATCATGTACCCAGCATGATGCTCAGTTGGGAATGGTATTTCCTAGTAAATTCATTCCAGTTTCGACGAGCAGGAAACAGAAATGTTTGTTCATATAGACCAGTCATGTGAGTGGACCAAGGACTTTGGTTGCTTTAAATTTGACCCCTTCTTGGTGATGCCCTTGTGCTGACACCATTCTCTATTTTGTGAAGACCTGTGTATAACTTTCTATAGGAACATAACACTAGAGAACATTATAGTTATTTGGATGCATTCTTTGTAAGGTTTCCTGGAAATTATAGACATTAAAAGGATTGATACCATGTACCTTGTTTTTTATGAGTGTATGATATTTCGGCACTGTCGCAAGCGCCATGATCACGGAGTAACCGTTTGCGACAGTGACTACGTACATGGTAACAATCCCGTTAATAACTATAATGTTAATGACCATGAAAGTTTAAAAGAATATTTCCTAGACATGACCTACAGTACGAGCGTAAAATCCACTCTCCCTTACCTCTCTTTGTGGAGAAGAAGAAGTAATGGATATATACGGTGCGCACAAACAAAATGGAAAACACAACAGGCGAATGATAATAAAGGTAGAGAATATCTCAAAAGGTATCTAAACTTAGCCTTTCTTGTCCTTAAAAAACCGGCCAAGTGCGAGTTGGACTCGCACACCGAGGGTTCCGTACAAACCTGAATTTTCAAAAGTATTTTTTTATATGATTTCACTAAAAATTTACGGTTTTCGCAATTTTTCCTTTATCTGTACGTTTAAGACGTTACTTCGTACCAAATTTCAAGATTCGAAGGTCACGGGAAATAACCTGTAGGTTGATTCCCATGCGAGTTTTGAAATTTGTGGCATAAACGGTTGTATTTTATGATTGCTTTGGCTTAGAAGTTGATTCTCTGACAGTTCCAAGGGACAGTAGATCTGAGTATGACCTACGCGTTCCTGAGAAAAACGGTCTTGATAGACGGGCAGGACGGACGGACGGATGGACAACAAAGTGAGGATAATAATAATAATAACAGAAAAAAATGCTCTTTCCTTATGGAAAATTAGGTCCTTAGGGAAAGAGCAAATTTCTTTTACAAAT